TAAATGGTGGAGATTTAACACACTTAAGTTTGAAGTTGAGGAATAACTCAGGGAGTTCCATGAAAATAGAGGGATTTTTGTGAAAAGGAAAAAGGATAAACCAGTGATTGGAAGTGTAAAGTAGTTTTAGAATAGTGAATTAGAAGTGCTTTTGTGCCGATTGAGCAAAACAAGTTATTACTCTAGAAAGAAAATAAAATAATAATTTAATTATGTGGTAATGTTTTAAATATGCATTTCTCTTGTCAAGGCAACTTCTTATGAGAGGAGAGAGTATGAAAATTAGCTGAATGTGTGGCGACAAAAAAAAAAAAAAGAACTGAAGCTTCCTTTCTGGCTGTGAAAGAAACATGTCTGTGAATGAGAAGAATTGCTTGGTAAAATATATAATGGTAAAATACAGGATAATTAAATAAAGTGGTCAGGTCTGTGACTAAGTGCAGTATTCCAGATTTGGAAAAGAAATTTAGAATTTAGTAATGATCGATTGTTATAATGTTTTTAGAAAGGGCTTAATGGGAATTAATGTTAATGTTGTGCAAAACTGTGTGGCTTTTAACAAGATTTTCTGTGTATTTAGCAGGTGAAATTATGTCAGTTGACCTCAGAGAAGATCAGGATGCTGAAGAACCTGAGGCCAACATATTGTTAGATTAGTAAGCAAAAGTTTTCTCTGATTAAGATTTTTGGGGTTGTTGTTTTAGTGATGGGTTGATTCTGTCAGTTAGGTTTGGATTGTTTTCCTATTTCAATAGAGGGAGTTTTATTAAACATGGACATGTCTATAATGGGCCTTTATAATTGTAACAGTGCACTTAGGGAAATCGTGGCAGGTGATTATGTTTTGTGTTTTGATGAGCTAATAATCAGCTCTCTTTTTCTCATTTTTGTTCTAAGCAGGCCTGCAAGATTGAATTAACAGCGCTGTAAAAGTTTTGGGAGAACAAATTTAAGATGACCTTTTCCAGATTACAACTGGCTGAGGAGAAGGCCATCTGTGTGGATCTGATCAGGTTGTAAGATAATAAAGAACTCTTTTCCAAAAACAAAAAACAAAATAAAACAAATGAATGAGCTCATGTTGCTGAGGGTGGAGAATTTGATTCTTAGTCTCCACTGTCAGCAAATATCTTGAGTGAATGACTGAATGTGTGACTGAAATGTGACTTGACACTGAGACAAAGACGGGACCAAGGTTAGGATGCGAAGGGGGGATGCTTTGCTTTGTTTTGCTTTGCCATGAGCAGGAGGAGAAGAGAGAACGGAGGGGAGACTGAAAGGTTCACATGAGAGTTTGGAGCTGCAGACTTTTTTGGGTCGCTGATGTCTGCTTTAAGAAAATTCTGTTTTATTGACTGGGTTTAGATTATGGTAGTACATTATATAGTTGGGAAGATACCAAATGCTAAAGGGGAGAAAATGTTGGACGTTACTCATGTTACTATTAACAAAAGCAGGCCACCGTAGAAGTCAATTAAATTTTATAGAGAAAGATAGTTACAACCAAAGTAATATATAGAAAAATAAAATAGAATAGGAAGTTGTTGACCTGTCCTTTATGGGCTGAACTGTCATGGCTTGCTGTACCGGGGGAGTTGGTGAAGATGATGGCTGAATAGGTGGCTGAGCTGATGATAAGGCTGATGAGTCGTCTACCAACTGAGCTATTGACTGGGCTATGGATTGTGAGGCTGAATGTGATGGAGGTGACGGCTGGGCAGCTGACTCAAAAAACACAGCCCCGGTATAAACAGTCACAAGGTCTGGCGAAACAGACAGAGTGTCTTTTCTACTCACTACAGCCGGCAACTCAGAAGTCTCGGGACCCGGCTGTGGCGATGGGCGTCGGCGGCGTGAACATCGCTTCCTTCTCGGGGATAGCTCCGACCGGCCGGGTAATTCCACATCCGGCGGGCCGGGCCGCAGATTGCCCGGCGGGCAGTGCAAAACATTCACCACCGGGCTGGGTCGGGAAGCGGTAGCGGCTGGAGGGTGAAGGTGCAGTTCTTTCAGAAGGAAGTCCTGTGCAAGCGGGTGAAGAGAGTCCAGTAGCCAGGGGTGAGCAGAAATTAGCTGCTGTAGCCTGGCTTCTACAGCGCGGTGAAATTCCTCTCCCTCACGTTCAAGCCACAGGTTAACCAACCTCGAAACAGAGTCAATCACTTCCTCCCGAAACTCCTGGGAAGGTGCGGATGCTGCTGGGTCCATGTTTGGTCGGCTCGTACTGTCACGGCTGGGGCAGCAGTCGTGTTGTGGAATGAAAGGAGGACCCAAAATGCAGGCAGCCGACTGATGATATGAGTGAGAGTTTATTTACAGGTGACAGTGGCAGGAACAGACAACGAATCATGAGACATACTAACGGAAACCTAAACTGGGAAAACTAAAGAGCAACTAGAAATCCTCAGGGCACGGGGTGAAAGGCAGAGAGATGCAGACTGACGGAGGATACCAAAAATGCAGAGATACACAGATGAACGCAGACGAGCCGACAATGAACACAGACCGACACCCACTAAATATACACACACAAGGTAATCGGGTAATCACACACAGGAGGGAAGAACAGCTGAACCCAATACACATGAGGACCGGAGGAGACAAGCTGAACACAATGACAACAGACACAGACTTTCAGAACAAAACAGGAAATCTAGAACCTAAACCGGACACAAGGGGGGAGGACACAGAATAACTAGAACAGAAGGACATAATCATAAAACACAAAACCCAGCACCATGACAGAGGGGAGAAGAGACGGTGAGAAAGGGGGGAAGAAAGAAAGAAAAACAAACAAAACACCTGGATCACCTGTATGGAGAAAAAAAAACAGAAGAGAAAGCAAACAAAAAAAGAGCAGCATAATAAAAACAGCACCATCACAATAAACTAGCTAGCAGTAGATAACAGTAGATACTGAAAATAAACGATATTGTGCAGCACGCAAGATAGACAGTGCACAATGTGCTTTGAGGCAGCAGCCAAGAAAGGTGTAGTCGCATCTGTGAACACCCGTGTGTACACCTGTGTGCATACCTGCGTGGATCAGCATGCTTGCATTCCAAAGGTTTCTCCATGTAACGATCTGCTAGGGAGTGTGGGGAGCCATAGCCCCGTCCCCCAGGGCATGAAGCAGGTATGGAGGAGATCCAGGCCCCAGATATCCAGAGGCCCCAGAGTACAAGGACCCGAGGAGGACCACCAAAGGGGGGGGAACCGTGCCCCCCTTTGCCACTCCCTGCCGATGCCACTGGCAGGGAGTGTAGTGAGGGGAGATAGGCCTCCGTACTTTGGAGGGCCTGAGATGTACCCAGAGAGGTTGAGTCTAAGACCCAACCTGATATATAGACACAGACAAACAGGCGCACGCGGACACAAACGTGCGTTCCCACCCCCATATACACAACCAAATACTCGGCACTCACCCAACATGTAGACAGACACAAATAGACACTGCACAGACAGTCACACTCCCCAATCATACTCTATATCCCGGGTCCAGGTACCCCCGCCCCCAGAGGGGCAAGCCGCACCTAGACCCAGGAGATGTAACCCTTCTCTCTGGGGTGGAGGCAAGCGGACCACCTCCTTATCTGCAGTAGCAGGGAGGCCCCGCATCCCAGACCCCAATCTGACGGCTAACAGAACCGGGGTGAGTGAAGACCCCAAACCTCCCTACGCCCGCTCATATGTAGTGTTGCTGTGTGCTGTTCTAAAGTGCATTTAAAACACAGGAGAGCATGGTTCCTGCTTCCTCTCAGAGAGCAGCCCGGCTCCTCCCGAAAACCCTTAGTGTCTATGTGCATTTAAAAAGGCTACAGTCTTAAAGGGCTGTGCTTGTAACACTCTGCCTTCATATTAAATAATTTTTCATATAATATTTTTTTACAACTATTTCTTCACATCAATATGCGGGCCGCAAGTAGAGGTGACGTGGGCCGCAAATGGCCCGCAGGCCACGAGTTTGAGACCCCTGCAGTATACAGTGTACCAAAATGCTGTTTCACTCTAAGCCGCATGGTGCATTTATAAATATATAAAGGATATATCTCCAAGAGATATAAAATTAGGAATTATAAATGAATAACATGCTAAGTTTCAGTAAGACCTTAGTAGTGGTTTCCAGTATGATCCGCTGTTTTTGTTTACAGTTCCTGTTCAAACAGTGTTCTGCCACACAAAGGATGTCCTACAGTTGCCTCCATTCTGTAGACTGCTGCCATCTGTGGCCACAGTTGGTTGTCATGTCTGGAAGCTAACTTCACTACAAGCCACTGGAATTTACAATTTGTGCGATGGGCATGTCTGTGTCCTCTTACGAAGAATTGAACCTCTGCAAACTGTGGGGGAAACAGCTTGTTAAAGTTGTTTGCTCATTGCAGAGTGTGGATGAAACCTGATGTTAATTGAGGTCACCATAACAAGACAATAATCTAACTATAATGAGCAATATTAATACCAGGTTAATGACAAAACTATTTACCAACTGTGTGTGAGACAGTGAGTATAAAAAAAAGTTGTGTTGCGTTAACAGGTTTGGTTGAGAGAAAGAGGAGGCTCCTCATCTTGAAAACTGAAAGAGCTTGGTGAGAAGGTGGAGATTAATCAGCTTTATAAGAAAAAGTTCTGATCAGAGAGCTGCGGCTGTCTGATGATGGAGATACAGAAAGAAAACAAGTTGTGTTTTCCACAACTCCTCAACAGCTCCTGCAGGAAGCCAACACTTCACTGGTCCAAAGATGTGCTCCTGAACACTGTGCTGTCCTGCATCTCTCTGCTCACCGCTGCTCTAAACCTTCTCGTCATCATCTCAGTCTCTTACTTCAGGCAGAGATTAATTTTAAATATATGACAACTTTAATGTACATTATATCACTTAAGTGAATTTTGCTTGATGTATTTTAACCATGATTGTAATGTCCTGTTTGCCTAGACTGAATCAAGCCTTACTAATGCAGCATTTTCAATGAAGACAGTTTGACATTAATAATGTGCATTAAATTCTTTTGTGTCTCTGCAGGAAGCTTCACACACCCAGTAATATCCTCCTCCTTTCTCTGGCTGTCTCAGACTTTCTTGTCGGTCTCCTGTTGATGCCATTAGGAATCCTTAGAAACACAGGCTGCTGGGTACTTGGTGATATAATTTGTTCTCTTTATTGGTATTTAACCAGCAACATTGTCTGTGCTTCAATAGGGAACATTGTCCTAATATCAGTTGACCGCTATGTGGCTATTTGTGACCCTCTGCATTATCCCAGCAGAATTACTTTGGCGAAAGTCAAACTCAGTGTTTGTCTGTGTTGGTTTTATGCTTTTTTCTACGTCAGTCTTTATACAAAGGATATCCTAATTGAACCAGGCAGGGATAATTCCTGCTACGGAGAGTGTGCATTTGTCATCAATGATATTGCTGTTGTTGTTGACCTTGTTTTTTCCTTTATTGTTCCGGTTTCTGTCATTGTAGTTCTGTATATCAGAGTATTTGTGGCAGCTGTGTCTCAGGCTCGTGCCATGCGCTCTCATGTGACATCTGTCACACTGCAGCGCTCACTGAATCAAACAAACAAATCTGAGCTGAAAGCAGCCAGGACTCTTGGAATTCTTGTAGTTGTGTTTCTGGCATGCTTCTGTCCACTCTACTACTTTTCTCTTGTTGATGAAAATGCAATCAATGATCCAGCTGCATCTTTTGTGGTCATTATATTTTACTTTAACTCGTGTCTAAATCCTTTGATCTATGCCTTCTTTTACCCCTGGTTTAGAAATGCTGTTAAGCTTATCATCACTCTGCAGATTTTCAAGTATAATATGAGTGAGGCCAACATACTATAAAAAGAGTATGAAACTTGCTCTACTAAGATATAAAATCAGTTGTGCAATGTTTTGCGCTGTCACCCCACAGCAAGAAAACCCCGGGGTCTTTCTGTGTTTAGTTTCTGGTTTCTGCAGCTACTCCATGCATGAAATTAAAAATGGAAGTTAGCTGGTGAATGGTTGCCTGTCTCTATGTGTTGGCCATAAATAGACTGGCCACCTATCTGGACCCTGATTTAGATAAGCATAAGGAAAAGAATGCATTTTTACTGTATTACTGAAACTGACTTTGAATTATGGGTATATTTAGTGATAGATAATGTCAGTAATGATGAGTATAGATGTAAAAATGAAAAAGGATATGAACTGTGACTGCAGTATGTCCTTACCTGTAAATTATAAGTAAAATTAACTTTAGCACTTATGATGACTTCTTAAGTAAAAATTATGAATTTGGATGTGTTAAATGTTTCCTACTAAATCTCACTCCCACTCTTTTTCAGTATATTCAGATTTTGGCTCAAAGTAATAAAATATTCTTAACTTCAGTGGTTCATGTTTTCTCTTGTTATTATATAGTGTCATCATCTTGGTGTTTTATAAGCACCATATTATCCAGTTGGGGCTGCTGCAGGGGCCCAATTCACCCATTCGCTGTAATCTGCCCCTCATTTTTTTTAACACTTTATTTGTAGTGTTAAAAAATCATTCTCCCACTGTTCTCGAATGTGTGTAATAGACAGGTTACACCTATTCATGATATGTGAGTAAATAAATGATATTCTGCCTTTTTTCATCTCATTGACCCTTAGTATGGAATCCAAACAGGGAGGAGCGGGTAATGTACCAAAGTTAGAACCCTTTTTACATATAAAATCTCTAATTTGCAAGTATCGCAAAAAATTATTATTATTCAGATCAAATTTTCCAGATAGTTGTTCAAAGCTAGCAAACGTATCTGTTACTGTTTGCCATGAGGACTCACATGCAGGACTCTGAATTAGGAAGCTTCACAAGCAATTTATTTACACAGTTCACCGAGTGTATACACAAATGTGCAGAAATAGTGCTATGTACAAAAGTGGGGTGATGGGGCTCCAGGGAAATCCAGGGAAACAGACTTTCGCTCTTCTTGCAACAATCCACACACATGATCAGGCTCTCTTTCTCCGACACTCACCACACGGGAAACGGGAAAACAGTCCTGGGAGTCTGTACACAGGGAAATGTTCGGTAGTTCAATGCTCAGAAACACGAAGGGAAAACTTAGCTGGCAACTTGATGACACTAACGCGAGTCAAACACAATGATCGAGTGAAGAACAGCAGTCATCGTCTGGCTTAAATGCTGGTTGCGTTAATAAGCCTCAGGTGCTTCCTCCTCCAAGGGGCGTGGGCCGAGGGCGTGGGCCGAGGGCGTGAACCCCGGCGAGATACAGGAAGAGAGAGAAAGAGAGGAGGCGAGAGAGAGAGAGAGAGATGAGCGCCCTGCTGATCCCCCAGGCCGTGACAGTATCAATAATATACAAATCTTCAATGCTGTGAATGCCCCTGTCGTACCAAGTTTTGATAGTTTATCATTCCAGTCCTTTAGCCATAAAGGGATGGCATTAAGATTTGCCGCCCAATAATACGTGTGCAAGTTTGGCAGTGAAAGCCCACCTATGTGTTGGTCTTTCCATAAATTCTTTTCCTGTGTGAGGTGATTTATTATTCCATAAACAAGAAGAAAACATTCGATTTAATTACTTGAAAAAAGTCTTGATGAATTCGCAATCATCCAGAAAAGTAAGTCTCCAAAAGTTGATTCTGTTCATCTGGACGTAGCGTTTTGTGAGAGAAACGTTTCGTCACTCACCCAAGTGACTTCTTCAGCTGACTGCAGGTTTCCCCAATCTTATTAAGTGTACATTTGCATAATGACTGAAACCAGCCCACTGAAGGGACAATGGGCTGGGAGGTCAGTTCCTTCATCATAATTATGCAAATTCTCATGACCATTGATCAACAACCACTGACCAAAACCCACTGACCAAAGACCAAAAAAATCTAAATCTTGGGCCCATAAAAGAGGTCAAAGTAACAAAACCCTACTCAAGGTTGACAAAAAAACAATACTGATTACTCAAACAAGCTGACTTTTAGGTTTAATGTATGTATTGTAGGTTGCCATTTAGAAAGCTAGAATGCTTCTGTTTGCTATCTCGGTAACCTAAGCATATGACTACGTACATGACTTTGATAAGGGGAACAAGCAGCCTTGAGAAGAACAGATTCTACCAACAACAATCTGGGAGAGCTGCACTCCCATCATATAACCACACACAATGTATAATCACGCTTGCACAGCACAATCACACTTTGTATCTAGTTATAGTAATTTCTCATAGGTAATACAGCAACAAGCTTTATGAATATTCATGTGTATAACCAATAAAAACAACCTGCAGGGGGAAAGCAAGTTGAAGTGGGTTGGAGACAGCTGCTCCAAACTTGAGCTCTGTGTGACCTTGTTCCTGAGTGAGTTTCTGTTTTATCCAGCAGTATCAGGGGTAAAACTCTGACACTGACCTAACTAAACAAGATGAATGGGAAACTTAAATAGTGGCTGATTAGCCCACAAAAACACAAAAAGGGGTAAAAACACACAAAGCCTAACTGAAACTAACATAACAAACTAATTCTAAACCAAAACCAGTTATTCACTGTCCTTTAAATTAATTCCTATATTTAAAGACAGACAAATGTGAATCCAGTGTTATATATAAGCCTCTACACTGATATTGCCACTGTGTGGCTGAAACTGCAGCCATCACACTGACAAAGAATATCCATGCCTCATCCCCCTTAGAAAATTGAATGGACCACTTAAGAATATTGAGGAGGAGAGTAAAAACAACCATGGTCCAGAAGAGCTTGGTCGTTTTTACTTTCCTCCTCAATATTGAACCCTTAACAGACTCCATTAATTTTCAGTACACTCATAATGTCATGGTACAGAACCTGAATCATTGCTTTAAAACCTGGGCTGAAAGCAAAAAGCACTCAAAGTTTACCACAAATATTGGTGTTTAACCTGGTCAAAAGTTTTTTGTTGGTCTATAAAAATGAGACCAATATCTATGTCCAAAGAGCTAGAGATTTTCAAAATATCTCGAATTAAAGTGATATTATCACTTATTAGTCTGCTTGTTTGGTCTCCATGAATGACAGAAGCCATCATATCCCAAAGTTTAGTCCCCAGGGCTTTGGAAAAAATCTCACAGTCTGAACACAGAAAAGAGACTGGTCGCCAGTTTTTCAAATTGCATAGAGCTCCCTTCTTTGGTAGCAGAGTAATGACCACTCTTCTACAGCTCAGAGGCAGAAAGCCTCTATGCAGACTATTCGTGATAACCTCCAGCAAATCCTCATCCATCACCGACCAAAAAGATCTGTAAAATTCGACAGGAAGACCATCTATGCCAGTGTGATGCCTGTTGTACTCCTTAGCATCTAACATCCTCTTCAACTTTTCTACCTTAGTGAACATAATGATGTCAGGCCAGGTATGATCCAGAAGAGAAGGAAGTATTAGCACTGTGGTGCAAAGCTGAGCTGAGCTGTTCTGTAACCACTCTGAAGGGGGATAGATCTATAGTCAAGAAGAGCCAGATAGGAATCCCTGGCTTTTTTAACAGTTTGAACAGCCAGTACCAATACTCTTTGGAAACCTTGGACTGCTGGTGAGATGCTTCAATCTATATGATCCATGACCCATATGTAACTGCAAAAATGTCAAAGAGATGTCATGAAAACTGAGGGCCATTATCTTCCAAATGACTTCCAAAATACCATGGTTTGCAAAAATAGACCTTAGATGTACAATGGCATTTAAACACAATATATAATCATATATAATGTAATGTGTAAAGACTTATATCAAATGATAAAAATAGATTTTACAGCGTCACACCAACAGTCACAGGTCATGCTTTGACCTTTTTCCATTAAATGTAAATACCTGAATCAGTCACAAAATTAATGTCAACTGCCATAAAATATTCATAATTATCTGCCCATACTGACCATGGAAGACCAGTATGATGAAACTTAAGACTATAGTTTATGAAAAGGTGAATGAGTTGTTATAAAAATTACAAATGGATAAATTCATGGAAGATGATATGCTTTATCTAAAACATGAGTAAAGATGATTTGGTAATGTGACTGTAAGTTTGTACAACAAATTAATTTATGTTCTGACTAAGCTATTGCAACCTTTGAAATAAGATCTCAAAGGATTATTTACACTCATGAAAACTACTTTTTCCATATGACTATCCAGTTGCTGAGTTTGCAGGCAGTTTTTTTTTCTCGTATGTGCATCGAGACTTGGTGAGGGATGGTGAAGGAGCTCAGACCCTGGTTCAGCCCGGAGCATTGTGGAGTTAAAATGTATTCATGGTGAAATTTACGAATATCCTACAAATGGGTCTATATGGTTCTGTGCGGCCTACACACAGTTTAATGCTTATCAACTATGCCCTGAATTGACGAGCTCCGGGACTGATTGGGCACTGCTCTTTTTTCACAACACTAGATTTGACCAAGGGATACTGGCAAATTAACTAGTCTCCAGAGTCTAAGGAAAAAATGACCTTCTACATCTTGTATGGTTTTTGCCAATTCATTTTCAGCTCTGCTTGTTCAGAGCCAGGCCACTTTCCACTTTCTCATGTACAGGGTGCTGCAACCGCACATGCATGTGCTGCTACCTACTTGTATGACATTATCAAAGACAATGACACCTGGTCGGCGCATGTACAGATGATGGCCATGATGCAGGAGTCTCTGAGGCAAGCGGGGCTCTTGGCTGCCCCCAAAAAGTGTGCTTTGGACATACGGAGGTACAGTATTTGGTGTACCACTTGGGGATGGGCAGGTGCACCCTCAAACAGGAAAGACAGCGGCAATCGAATCTTGCCAGACCCCCAAAACCAAAAACAGAGGTGAGGCGGTTTTGGGGGGCTGGTCAGCTGCTATCACTTTATTTACTGACTAGCCCCCTTACCTACCTGTTTTGTCAGCAAAAGGATCAACTGTCAGGGTCCTGGGTCTGAGCGACCCAGGATCCCTGAGCAGTTATGGACTAATATTATAATATATATTTTGCATTGCTGTCCCTCGTTATCCCTGCTTGTATGTGTGTGTGTGTATGTGTCACGGACCCGGCTCTGGGGACTCGGGGTCCGTGGGCAGTGGGGACTGTGACTATTATTGTTATTATTATTATTTGGTGTGTTGTCTGCACTGCCCCTGTGCACATCTGTATGTAGGCAGGTATGTGTGTGTGTTTTGCCTTTCTGCTGTGGCCAAGTTACAGGCACCTTCAGCCCTGGGGGCGTGGTCTAACTTGTGGGCTGGCCACACCCGAAGTCCTGGCCGCACACCTGCTCCTCATCTGGGCTCGTCGGGGGAGCTATTTAGATGAGCGATGGAGCTTCCACCGACGCTGGATTATTGCGTTTGACTACACGTCAGTCTTCAAACTAGTCAAGTGTGAGTGTATGCCTGCTGGGATAAGTGTTAACGGCTGCCTCTATTGTTTTCCCCTCAGGAGGAGTGTGGGACGAGAAGGAGCAGTGAGCACGGGGAGTGCAGAGACACTGGGGCAGAGAGCACTACACGGGGACTTTTGGGAAGAAGACACTACACGGGAGTCTGGGAAACTGGGGATTTATTGTTGTTTATTTTCACCACCTTGTAAATAAACACTGTTGCACTGAAGAGTCCGGCGTTTGGGTCCTATTTCCCCATCTCCCCACGGTCTGCCAGCCAGACCGTGACAGAATAATCCAGCCATTATGGGCCCAGCGGACTCAAGGACTGTCTCACAGGGGGAATTGCTCGCCCAGCTCTGGAAATACTGTCGGAGCATTATCCAGGCGGCAGATCCACATCTGAGACACATGCAGGTCGTATTTTTCGATGCCTTCCTTTCTTCAACCACCTGTTCTATGAGTTTTCTGGACATTGCAAAGCTAATTCAAATTGTAACTGTGTTGAGGGCTAGCTCTAGCTTTGAACTGTTTGGTTTAGGCTGTCCGGGCAAGGAGGATGCGGCTGCCTCCCTGGCAGCCCTCGCTGCCTGGTTTTTTCTTAATGGGCGGAAGGTTTTCCCACCGCCGCTTGCTGCTCACCTATTGGACCCTCCACTGCAAGGAGGACGGCGCCCTACTCCATCTCCTCTCACTTCTTCAATGACCTCTGTGTCAGCAGACCAAAGACCGACAGTGCTGGTCACCACAGTGAGTAAACCGGACCCTGTCATTTTAACTAATCCAGTCACAGATGAACAGGGGACAGGTCCCTTTGCCCCGCCAACACGAAAGAGACGGCGCCGGCGTCATCCTCGCCAAACCGAAGCTCACTTCACTCCTGTGGTTTGGGAAGAACCAGCTGACTCTGGACTGATCGCACGAGGAGCCGCGGACCCAGTGCTAGAACATGAGCCTGCCACTACAGACAATCGGGAGGCTGAGATTCTCCCCAGGGCTTCCCCAGAGGCTGAACTGGAGGCCTCAGTTGCCTCTGGCCCCCTGGAAATTGCTGAGCCAGCGGTAACATTGTTTTCCTCTCCACCCTTCATGTTGGACATATCACCCTCACTTCAATTAGCTGCCCAGCTAGTCAGTCGGTCATCATCTGTTCCACCTTCCACATCCACTGCTCTGCCACCGCATCCACCGCCTGCTGCTGCCATGTCGCCATCGTCACCGCCGGGTGACCGGCTCAGCGTGCGGGGGGATCCCGCGCCGCAGCCGGAGGTGCTCAGCGAGCCGGAGGAGCCCGCACCGCCAGCTGGGGAGCTCAGCGAGCCGGAGGAGCCCGCACCGCCAGCTGAGGAGCTCAGCGAGCCGGAGGAGCCCGCACCGCCAGGGAGCTCAGCGAGCGGGAGGAGCTCAGCATGCCCGAGCCGGAGCTCAGCGAGCGGGAGGAGCTCAGCATGCCCGAGCCGGAGCTCAGCGAGCGGGAGGAGCTCAGCATGCCCGAGCCGGAGCTCAGCGAGCGGGAGGAGCTCAGCATGCCCGAGCCGGAGCTCGCGCTGCCAGCCGAGGAGGAGCTCGCGCTGCCAGCCGAGGAGGAGCTCGCGCTGCCAGCCGAGGAGGAGCTCGCGCTGCCAGCCGAGGAGGAGCTCTGTGAGCCGGAGCAGCCCAGCGAGCCACCCACTGAGAAGCCCGCACCGCTGCTGGCGGACCTCAACGAGCCGGAGGGACCGGCGTTGCCAGCAGAGGAGCTCAGCGAGCTTGGTGAGCCTGCGCTGCCACCGGAGGAGCTCGGAGGTCCGGAGGGATCCGCTGAGCCAGAGCTGGAGGTCTGCGTGCCGGAGGGGCCGCCACGTCCTGCAGCCCGGCCGCCACGTCCTGCAGCCCGGCCGCCACGTCCTGCAGCCCGGCCGGTACATCGGGAATCGTGGGTGGTGCTGAGGCGGGAGCTGCAACGCCGCCGCCGCCACTGGACCCGTGGCCGCCCGCCGGAGCTGTAACGCCGTTGCCACCGGATCCGTGGCAGGCCGCCTGAAGCGTTCTGCTCCCATCACGGGGTTGGAGGTAGGCCGTCCGAACGGATTTCCCACCACTGCCTGACCCATAGCGGGTTTTGCCTGCTTGCGGTCCACTGGGTCGGCCGCAAGAACTGTTGCTGCCACCATGGCAGTGGTTGGACTTTTGAACTGGGGTTTTCAGGCCCTCCGTCCTGTTTCCCCCCCGCCGCCCGCCCTGGGATGGTTGGGTTGTGGTTTTTGTTGTGTTTTGGGTCGTCGGGAGCCGACCCTTAGAGGGGGGGTACTGTCACGGACCCGGCTCTGGGGACTCGGGGTCCGTGGGCAGTGGGGACTGTGACTATTATTGTTATTATTATTATTTGGTGTGTTGTCTGCACTGCCCCTGTGCACATCTGTATGTAGGCAGGTATGTGTGTGTGTTTTGCCTTTCTGCTGTGGCCAAGTTACAGGCACCTTCAGCCCTGGGGGCGTGGTCTAACTTGTGGGCTGGCCACACCCGAAGTCCTGGCCGCACACCTGCTCCTCATCTGGGCTCGTCGGGGGAGCTATTTAGATGAGCGATGGAGCTTCCACCGACGCTGGATTATTGCGTTTGACTACACGTCAGTCTTCAAACTAGTCAAGTGTGAGTGTATGCCTGCTGGGATAAGTGTTAACGGCTGCCTCTATTGTTTTCCCCTCAGGAGGAGTGTGGGACGAGAAGGAGCAGTGAGCACGGGGAGTGCAGAGACACTGGGGCAGAGAGCACTACACGGGGACTTTTGGGAAGAAGACACTACACGGGAGTCTGGGAAACTGGGGATTTATTGTTGTTTATTTTCACCACCTTGTAAATAAACACTGTTGCACTGAAGAGTCCGGCGTTTGGGTCCTATTTCCCCATCTCCCCACGGTCTGCCAGCCAGACCGTGACAGTATGTGTTTCTGCAGGCGCCTTCAGGCCTGGTGGGTGTGGCCCTGATGGCGGACTGGCCACACCCGAAGTCACACACCTGCTGCTGATCAGGCCTCGTCGGGGGAGCTACTTAAGAGAGTCTTGGAGCTCCCACCGACACGGGATCATTTCGTGAGACTTCCCGGAT